GAATCCATTGATAGATCATGCTAGTAATAAAGTTAGCATTGTAAAGATTTATATGTTCTAAGAAAGAGATGGCTGTGATGACATACATAAAATATTTCTGAGACAAGAGCATTAAAAAAGGGCACATTTTGAAAATATTTCATGAACTATGTGGGATACTCCTATTAAGCTTATTGAAAGCAAGCCATAAAATAAAAATCTGATTCAGGAACTTAAAATGCAGGCTGCATATTTAAAGATAAAATTATTATTTACATATCATTTTGAGTTGTGTAAGGCACAAGACCATCTTATTATATCATTCCACTAGTAACATTCAGAACATGTTTCAGTTATGTGTTGCACTTGGGACAAAAGAAATTCATAGGCATATTATATCCTTTCATTGCAAAGATTCAAGAGTGATTATACACTTCAAAAAATTCAAAGGTGTGATACGGTTTGTGTGGCCATTCAGGCTTGATGTTCTTGTAAGTTCATTAGCACTCCTGGTTTCGAACAGTTGTCTGGAAATGCCTTGAAAGAACCAATACTCTCATGGTTCTTGATAATTCTTTCAGATACTTGAGCAAGAAACATCCTCAAAACTTCCCAGGGCTATGCATTTTTATCCAAAAGTGCAATGTCTAGGAATGTGCAGAAATGAAAGCATATGTACAGCATATAGAAAAAAGTGGATGAAAGATTTAAGTAAACATTTTAAACATTATTTTCTAATATTTCCTCAAAAAAGAGGGTTGGTTTTTTTTAAATAATAGTTAATTCTAAAGTCACAGAAAAAAGTTAAATTAATTTTTTTTTTTTTTTTTTTTTGGCAAACTGTTTAATTGCCCTCAAGATTTTTCCATTCAATTTGTTTTTATTTTCAGTTGATATTCCTTTTGAAGATATACATTTATTTTAGAGAGTCATTAGCTAAGTATACAATTTCTAGCTCTCCAGATTGTGGAAAACACCTCAGAGATAACTGGGTAACTAAATTAATAGCATTGCAAAATGAGAACTTCTTCCAACCACTTAAATCAATTTTACTTAAAAGCTCAGAAACATTTCGCTATTAATTGCAGTACAAGAAATAAGAAATAACTACCTAAAGCATGCAATAATAATTCCTGGATAATATTTGTCATGTATTGGTGTTCCATTTTGGACACATTATAAAAAGTCTGTGTGATTTGCTTGTGTTGTAGGTCACATAATCTTTGATTAGCTAGAGAAGCTTAGAATTTCTTTGCTTTAAAAATTAAAATTAAATAATTTTTACAGTACTATCTAATTAATGAAATCAGAGTTCTAGCTATCTCATAGCTTATAGTCTTGTGAAGTTATCTTTATTTTTAGTCATTTTATTAATCATATTACTAGTATGATATTAATAACATTATTAATCCTATTATAACTAGTTAGAGGTCTAGAACTCATAACTCTAGTTATGTTCAAAAATAAAATACAAGCTTACGTCACCAAGAGGGTGGTCAAGCATTGGAACAGGCTGCCCAGGGAAGTGGTTGAGTCTCCATCCCTGGAGGTATTTAAAGAATGGATAGACACGGTGCTTGAAGACATAGTATAGATGGATGTGGCAGCGATAGGTTGACGGTTGGACTCGATGATCTTAAGGGTCTTTTCCAACCTTGACGATTCTATGATTCTATGGAGATAAATAACATTGGCTGATCCTTTTTTTTTCCTTCAGAGTCATCTGATATGGCTTAAGACTTTTTCCAATGCAATTCTAGTTAATCAAAGGTTTTACTATATTCCCTCTGTCCTGCACATACACAAAACTCCCAACTGTTGGCAGTGGATGTAGCTGTTATAAAATGGGCTTTGCAAGGGTGGGGTTGTGATACAAACTGCTGATTAGCAGAGGTAGCAGATAATGTCAGGAGCAAACGCAGTGCTGCTTTGACTAAGGAGGGTTTTTTATCCATGTCACAGCTGCAGCCCTCGGCTGTGGAATACATCCTGTAGCAATTCGTGTTAAGGGTAGACTAAATCCAGCTTCACCATTCCTACATCATTTGTGCCAAGTTCAACTCCTGTATAAATACCCTTCTGACAGAAAGGCTGGAGTATCTTCTGAGGTCTTTGACTAAACACTACTATTGCTTGTAAATTAGGGTCAAGATAACCAGAAGATTCAGGAGTCCTCTCTCGCATGTGTTTTTTCAACACAGGGCAGAGGAAAGCAAAGCAGAGTCCCAGCTTACTGTCAATGACACAGTAATTCTATTTTCCCTTCTGAAAATAGAAAGTATTGCCTTTGAATAGTCAAGTTCCACTGAGCCTAGAGTTTTTTTAAAAGGCCTTTTTTCATCAACTTCTAAGCTACAAGTAACATCACTCATCAAATCAACCTTATACATACCTATATCTTTGATCCTTTCCCCAAACAGACAAGTTTTTTTGTCTTTCTTTTCCTGGAAGCACTAAACTTGTGAAAACCACTTTTTTCCATTCTTCACCAGCCACTCCCTGAATTAGCTGTTCATCCATTTCTGCTTCTGTATTTACTTCGGGTGTCCTTTCTTCTAAAGGCAAGATGTTCAGGTTACGTCTTGTGGCAAGAAGGCAATGGAGAGTAAATAGGAAAAGAGACTGTATTAAAAATTATGTCAGTGGTCAGAAGCAATGTCATAAGTCTCCTTTTGAACAGAAAGACATCATCTTTTCCAAATAATTTTTTAGATGGAAAAGAAAGAGAAGGGAACAGCATAAGTTCCTGTGAGAACTGTGCACTTGAATGAAAAGAATTGTCCTTGTAAAGTGAATTCTCTCTGGAGTCAGAGGAGGTCTGTCCTGTGAGTGAGGAGAAAGGGCCTGTGGCCCCAGTGGTTAGATTCCCCTGGGATCTTCTTCCAAGCCTCATCTGTGAGTCCTGCCCCAGCAGATACTGACTTTGCCTTACAAAGAGATAGGTGTGGTGGTCCTTGAAGCCAGCACTGAGGTACAGCTGCTCAGGGAATGATCCTGAGCTGTGGATGAGACATGTGAATGGGAGGAGGGAATAGTTCTTTCCTGCCCAAAGAAGACAGCAATGCCAAAGTTTCATCTAAGAGTCTGTGTTGGAGCACACACGCAGAGGTGAAGGTCTGGAAGGTGAAGCTCAGAGCAGTTGGCTTCATTTCTGGCTCTCGCCTTTAAGAGTCAAGAATTTCGCTGTCAGAAACACTGATGAAACAGGAGGCGGGTGCCTTCAGTAAGCCTTGTTGAGAAGCTACTGTCAGATCTTAA